GCTCAAGGCCCAGGTGGACTCGGCCAACCGATCGGACCGGAAGCAGTACCGGAAATGAGGCTCCCCTGTGCCCTGCCCCGCTTGGGCAAAAGAGAAAGACAGACCACACCGTGCATGTTGCTGGCGCGGGCGGGGGAGTGCGGGGCAGGGGGGGGGGGGGGAAGCGCACGCACACAGGGCGGCGAACACGCTCTCGCGTTTCGGCAGAGAAGTCAAGGACAGGGGAAGGAGGGGGAGGAGGAGAGGGGGGCGGACCACACGGTATGCGCAGTGTGAGAAAGTATGGTAGAACCAGCTCGCATGGATGCGCCGGAGGAGCACAGCCGAGGGAAGGGAGGGAGCACGGGAGCAGCATCATGCTCAGGCGACGGCGGTCTCTTCGGCGGCGGTGGTGACGAGACCGGCGACGCCCTCGGGCAGGGGGCTCGGCAGGCGGGGCTCGGTGTTCATGAAGAGCAGCGGCATCATGCCGAGCAGGCAGCCGACCAGGATACCGAAGACGTTGCCGACGCGGCGGTATCGGGCGGCCGTGGCGGAGGCCAGCTGCTGGGCCGACATCTTGGGGTCCGGCACGCCGAGGCGGTTGAGGGCCGACTCGATGACCTGGCCGAAGGCGATGCCGGTGACGTTGGCCAGGGCGTTGCCGAGGGCCGCCGAGGCGAGGGTGGAGATGCCGAGGAAGACGCCGAAGTGGGTGTCGATCTTGTCACCGGCGACAAGCATCTGTGTGTGTGGGGGGGGGGGGGGGAGGGAGTGTAGGGGGTGTGCCGAGATATGGACGTGCGGACGTGCGGACGTGCGGACGTGCGGACGTGCGGACGTGCGGACGTGCGGACGTGCGGACGTGCGGACGTGCGGACGTGCAGGGGAAGAGGAGGAAGGGAGGGAGGCTATCAGTATCAGGAGAAGCAGCAGCAGCAAAAGAAGGAGGACAAAGCGCAGGGGATAGGCGGTAAGGGGGGGGGGGAGAGAGACACGCACGATGGCGTTGTCCAGGAAGCCGAAGCCCACGAAGGGCAGAGCAGACCGGAGGAAGTGCAGGGTCCGCTGACGGACGGACAGGACCACCTCCAGGGACTCGGCGGCGGTGGCCATGTCGGCCATGCGGCGCTCGGCACCGGCGTGCAGGGCCGCCAGGGCCGAGCTATCGAGGCTGGCCAGCAGCGAGTCCACCTGGGCGGGGTTATTGGTGTTCAGGGCGCGCGCCAGCGACTGCGGGAGCTCCTGGGGCTTGGCGAAGGAGGCGGCCGGGATGCCGGACGCCGAGGCGGCCGGCTGCGCGGACAGGCGCATGGGGGTCGAGGTCTGCGGTGTGCGTGTGTGCATGTGCGCATGTGTGTGTGTGTGTGTGTGCGTGGGTGTGTGTGTGTGTGTGTGTGTGCGTGTGTGTGTGTGTGCGTGTGTGTCAGCAGGGAGGCCAGGGGGGGGGACGGACGCGTGTGTACACGGAAGATGAAGGACGAACCTGGATCAGGCGGGCCGGGAGGGTGGGCGAGCGGGAGCCATGGACGGCGAAAGACCGAAGCGGTCCGTTCACGCGCGAGAGGAACATGCTGCGCGGGAGG